ACAAATAATTGTTTTAAGATATATAAAAGTTCAACTTGTATCAATATATATAAATGAATTTCTTACCTTTGATTCTGCCAGAGGATAATTAGTTTGAAACAGAGCAAGCTGTAAGGCAGCGTGGTACTAACGCTGTCTACCAGATCAAGAAAGTTAGCAGTTTCGATGCAGGCGACGATGTATTTAAATTGGAATGTTTGAGCGAGACCCAAGGAGATTGTCCAAAAAGTCCGAAATAAGATGTTATGAGATCCCGGCCAAATCCCGATAGCCCGCAACCCGAACTCAACCGAAGAGTTTATGGTTGTTTTAAGACCCATTTAACTTCCGATTATATAGCAGGATGACTCTGTCCGGTGTGTTTGATAGTAAGCTTCTTTTAATGCCTCTAATAGCAATCGAAAAGTTATCACGTTATTATTGATAGTTCGATACATAGAAATCTTACCACTTACCATGCAACGTTGAGTAATCCTGAAGGATTCTAGAGAGTTCATCGGCCAAATACAAACCCAGTGATCGTCGATCGGTCGAAATTATTCATCGCACATATACCTAGTATATCGTAAGAGAAGAAGAAAACTACGCCACACTATGATTTCAGGTTTGCCGAAGAGAAAAAAATAAATCATAGGTAATAAGTTTTGTTCTTCCATGTCTTCGAATGTCCCCTGTAGGTGTGCTTTTGCAATATTATTTGCTTTAAAAATGCAAAAGGCACGTTTCGGATAAGCTTATGCTATCATGATGCGCGACAGAGTTATAATTGAAAGTAAGCTTGGCGCAAGGGAGGGAGTATCGAATATCTTTGACAATCGATGCACGAAGCATAATGCAGTGTTCTGTGTTCAGTATTCGAGAGTGAAGATTTCAAGTTGCTTTATATCTAGTGTTGTGTACGCTGTGTTTTAAATAACATTTTTTTTACTTTATAACAATTATTAATCAGTAAGTTTATTTTCTCAAAGAAAGAAAGAGAAGTATTGATTGATGTAATTGCTTGCTATATGTAATATATGTTACAAATAATTTTGTTGTAAATTGGCCTCTTTTTCTTTTCATTTTTTTATTAATTAAAAAATTTATGACTATTCTGAAAACAAAATGAATAGCAAGAAATGAAAAAATTAATTGCATAAAAAAGTGTTTTAACATAATATTTATATATAACATTTGTATATATGTATAATTTTTTTCTACTTTTATTTAAGATAAACTCAATTCAAGATGTTTTCCGCAATGATTTAATTTTTAAAAAAAAAGATCCATATTTATATAAGGTTTTTATAATTTTTTGTACATTTTTAATATATGACGTGTAACATCAATATGCATAAAGATAAACAATTAAATTTTATGCTTTTGTAATCACGCGAAAAAAGTTAGCATAAAATAAACATTATATAACAAGAATATGATTTTTTTATTAACTATAAGTCTTGTTGATTAATAAAAGTTATCAATTAAGTTACGACAGTGATGTTTAAATCCTAATGCTTAAATATTATATTACACATAATCGTATCACTGCTATTATTTAAAAAAATTCCATTTAAAAAAACTCTTACGCTTGTAAAAGCCTCCAGAGATAGGTCTATGAATTTTCCGACTGTCAATTCTTTCTTTTATTAATAAAAGCAAGATTTTACTCTTTGTAGGCTTTAATTTATCAAAGCAAACTATATCCCATCAAAAATGTCCATAGTATCACAGTGAATAGGACATCTACACAGTAGGACATCTATATGATACATTTGGGATATTTATACTGTGTATGATGTGTTCCCCGATTTATAAACTTATTCTAATAGCGTTTTCGCGCCTGACCGGGTTTGCATCAACCTAGGTTAGAAAATGCTTTGCTATTGGATGACGTTATACGCTCTATCAATAAGAAAGTATGAAACGTCATTAGTTTAACACACACAGGTTGGTGCAAACCCGGGCCGAAAATATCATAAGATAAAAAGAAAAATAAAACTAATAATAATAAATATTAAACTTGTATAATATATTTATAATATATTTTGTATAATATATTATATTATAACACAGTTATAATATAATTATAACTGTGTTAAACAAGGAAAATGAAGACCAACTGGAGCATGGTCTTCAAAATCAAAGTTATCATAATAAAATTTTACGAACTATTTCATTACAATTATTTTCACGTATACTCGGGTTTACAAGTCGATTTAAAGTCGATTGATTTTTTGATGTCTACTAAATTTTCTATTGAGCTTCGAAAGAAGCAGCCTGACTGCTCCTCGCCCTGATGAAATAAATTGCAAGGCTCACGAAACATTGGCATTCCAAAAATGGAC